AGAAATTGCCTTCATTTTTCAGTCAACCTTTCTCTGGTGTATGCACGAAATTTTGATTCACCTTCTTTGCACTCTTGTGGCATCTTTCCAAAACACACAGAGTTTAAGGGCTTGCACTCAGATATTGAGTTGCTGCAGAACCCCAGGGAAAGAACAGTGCAATATTGTTCCAACCTGGGAGCACACAGGGAACTTAAACAGCAAAGTAAAACATCACTATTTACTTTCTAATCCACTGCTCTTCCCACCTCTGGCAAGGGAAGATGCTTGCCCCACAGAACAGTTTGGGTTGGAAGGGATCTTTGGGAACAGGGAGTCAAGCCCCTCTGCCATGGGCTTGGACACCTTCCACAAGACCGGGTTGCTCCAAGCCCCATCCAGCCTGGCCCAGATTCTCAAGGACAGAGTCTGCTTTCCCTAGAATGCTGTTCCAGCTGTTCTGGCCTATGAGTTAGAGGAAGAAGCACCCTGGATGTCTGCAGGGGATGCAGAACCTCTCACCATACAGGGACAGAAGGAAGACAAGATTACCATTTTTTCCCTTCTACTGCAAATAGGTCCCCTAAAATCAACGGGGATAGCCCCAAACTGAGCTACCAGTTGCCTAACATACAGAACTCAACTTCAGTAATTTTATTTCATGTTTTGCAATTCAAGTGTCATTTTGATGATAGCTGCCAGTCACTGCAAGTCACTTATTTCAGTAGAGCATATTCTCTTTGCAAATGGCACGCTGCTGCTTTTCGTGTGACTTGGTGCTTTCCTCTTCCTCCCCTGTGCCTTTTTCTGCATGGTGACAGGTAGTTCAGACTGAAGGGGCTCTGAGACTTCTGCCCAGATGGTGGTTTTATGCCCCATTTCTACACCAAGCAACTGTGGTCTGCACTGCTCTTTCTGCACCAGCCTTATGTTCCTTCCCCACAGTGCCACACATCCCTTCCCTGCTCCAAAGAGGATGTGCCACACTCTGGCCAGGGACTGTGAACCATCACACTCCTAAGGGCAGTAAAACAGAGAAGAGAGTAAAACATGCCTTAGAGGTGCAGTATTTGATCATGTAAACTGCCCACGGGAGCACGAGAATCTGGACTGCCACATTCCAGGAGCAGCTTCCTCAGACGTGTAATTCCTTCATAAGTAGAACAGGCACCCTTTTCTTATTACAACAACCTTTGAACTTAATAAACCCCTCAATTATCAGCTTTTGAGAAAATAGTAAATCCATAATACAAGCTTTGAAATGACTTTGAATGCTAAACTAGAACATGCACACAAGGTATGCAACCTTAGGTGCTCCAGTCACTAAACCAGTACAACCTTTCCACCAGACTGCAGACTTCAAAGAAGGCTTTTAATATCTCTTAACTCTATGTTCAAAAAGATGACAGCACACTCCAATTTAACCCTTCAAAGAGTCAGTGCTCTAGGCTGCTCCTGCCCCTAGCACAGCACATATCAGGGTGAGAGCCCATTGTCTGCACAGACACACCGGGCACTGCTCCTTTTAATGAGGTTCCTCAGCACTGCAAAGACCAAGCCACATAAAAAACATTCAGCATCCCATCTGTACAGTACCACACAATCTCACAGGGAGGTAAAAATTCATAAAGAGCTCTGGGGAAAAAGAAGGCACTACCTTGAAAAGCTGGGAGCTCTACTGCAGTACCCTGGGCCTCTGTGTCTTTAAACCCGCCATTGGACAACTATAAACTTGGGTTTTGCTGATTACACAGGATATAAATCTTGAAGCAAGAGAGTTTAAAACAGCATTAAAGACTGGTGTTAGGACAGGAATAAAATGTACTGCTCAAAGGTATGAAAGAATGAAGCACTTACTTTCTGACTGAGTAATTTATAATATTTAAGACCATTTTCATCCTTTTGTCAGGATGAAAATATTACATGAGTGAAAATATTACATGATTGAGAACATTTTGAAAGAGAAGAAAGTTTGTGAGCTCCCTCATAAATAAATGTAAGGTAAACATTTGATTTTATTTTTATTACTTTCAAGTTATTTAATAACAAAATGTAATGCAATTATTTGGCTTAAGTCATTGACTCAGACACTCCAGGTTACAAGAGAGAGACCAGGTGAAAAACTCAGCACTGACAGTATAATCATTGGATTCTTTCCTGAAAGAAAACCATTTGTAGAGTATCTGAGTGTTTCAATTTGTCATGCAAGTTCAAGGACTGTCATCTGTGAGACCCTGTACTTCTGGGTCTCTGGTGTGCATACTGACGAGATGGTTTAAGAGTTGATATAAAACGTGTTTTAATTCTATGAACCCTGGCAGCCTACTGAATTATTTATATGATGTCATTTACTTACTACAATCGAGTTTGACAATTCCAGATTTAGGATCACACATAAACCACCCTTCCTGATACAATATTAACACCCTGGCTTTGCGACACTTCTAAGAACTCCCGATGTAATAAATATGCTTCACATTTGGATTTGCAGGGCAGAAGGAGTTGCTACAGCCCTGTGGTATTCCACTTCTGGTTGGTTTACTGAAAAGCATGCACACATTTTAAAAAATGAACCATCTCAGTTGATAAAAGCCTGGCAGTGATTGCAACTTGCACCATTTCCTGATCTGCAAGAGCATTTCTTTGTTCTGATCTTTCACAAACCCAGTGTTTGTGAAGCTCTGATTTGTGCTGTCTGGGTTGCAGCTGTTCAGCCACTGCATCCAGGTGATTTGGACAAAGCTCCAGCCCTGGCCCTTGTTGGCTTCAATTAACAAAACTCACACTATCTCAGTAATTTCTTTGGTGAGGACAGTGTGCTGAAACTGATATTCCTCTGACACACAGCAGGGGAGGAAAAGGCCAGTGGAAGGAGTCTAGCCCTGACTTTAAACTCTGATTGCAGTCTCAAACATAGCATGCACCTGGGAAAAAGAACTCTCATCAGCCATCAGGTTTAATGCTCAGTCTAACGTAGAATTGAAAAGAATGTGTTAACAGAATGTCAAGCTCACTGCTGCCTTGGAAAAAAAAAGTTATCTGCTGCTCCTGTGCTAAAAATGGTTTCACTGTTATGGGTGAAGCAGCTCAGTATTTCCAGCACTGCTGCAGGTTTAAAAAAACCTCAGACATTCTTCGTCTAGGAGGGCTTAGCTGGTACCAGCAAACAGATAGACCATTTGTAAATCTGGGCTCCAATTCAAACACAGCAAACATAGACATACTAAATTTAAATATATTTTTAAAGTGCAGTTCTGAAGTGCTTTTACTCTCATATAACAGTAGGAATAAGGAAGGCCATTTCCCCAGCCTTGGCTTTAAATGACTCTATTAAATGCAAGCACAAAATCATCACCACCGTCATCAAATTGTCTGGGTTAGAAGGAACATCAAAGCTCATCCCGTTCCACCTCCTGCCCTGGGCAGGGACACCTTCCTTCATACCAGGTTGCTCCAAGCCCCGTCCAACCTGGCCTTGGACACTTCCAGGGATGGGGCAGCCACAGCTTCTCTGGGCAACCTGTGCCAGGCCTGCCCACCCTCCCAGGGAAGGATTTCTTCCCAATATCTAATCTAAACCTCCTGTCTTTCAGTTTAAAGCCATTCCCCCTTGTCCTGTCACTGCATCCCCTTGAAGTCCCTCTCCAGCTCTCTTGTAGGCACCTGCTGCCTTATCAGTTCTCCTGGACTTAAAGATCAACATCATCTAAGAAAGTATTTCAGAATTTCTGTACAGACAGGAACAACAACCACTAAAAATCCTAAATTAATTTTGCAGAGAGAACACATGGTTCATAAACATTTCAGCTTAAAAGCTACATCACGTGTAGTCGCATATGTTGGGTAATAATTAGAACCCAATTAAGCAGGGCACCAAAGGAATCTCTGTAATTTTATTTATGATATTAACTTGGGAGATTTTTTTTTTCCCCAGCTGTGTAAGAGACATTAAGGCTATTTATCATCCTGGTAGCAATATGAGAGTTTTCTACAGGGACATACGGAACTAAACTGATCTTGTATTTTCTAGGTATGACTTTTAAAAACCAGTGTATTCAGATTTGTTTTCATTTCTATCAAAATTTTTCAGTCATCAAATCCATCACTGCTTTCCTGAATGAGCTAAAAATCTAAATTCACCCAGAGTGGGAAGCACTGTTTAATTCACAAGCAACACAGGCATGTAACAATACTAAGATCCAAAAAGAGTGTAAGTACAGGAATGTTTCCCTAACCACAGGCACAGGTTTGAGTCCTGAATTCCTACTAGATTTTCTTTCTTATTTCATTTTCTTTTTTTGAAATTAGCTCTTTCATTTGTCTTTTCTGTTACAAACAGATGGAATTTGACATTGAGTTCTTCTGAAGACACTGTTCTGGTCTCAGGCTTAGAACATCAAGCTCAGTGTATTTACTGGGGTGACACAAATAAGACTTAAAACATGCACGAAGCTTATACTTTCAAACCCAAACATTTGGAGGGATCTACAACAAAACTGTTCTAAATCAATTGAAATATTTTCTCAGCAACAGAGGTTTGGCCTAAAGAACAGAAATAAATTATTCAAGTTCAGTTTGGAAATGGTGACTAGAGGATAATAAGCAGGAGTTTTGGTGAATCAGAAACTAGCCTTATGTATTATCACTGCCCTTAATATACATTTGAATTACTCTTCTCTTCTTTAGCTGCTCTGTTACTATGTCAAAATCAAGAATCCTTTTTTGACAGAACATACCTTAAAAATCTTAAAATTCAACTAAAACTCTTAGAACTCAAATCAGTTCAGATCTGCAGGTAACAGTGACAGGTCAGTGCAGTGACACCCACATCAGCACTAGTTCTGCTGCTCAACTGATGTGAAGAAAAGCTTTGCCCCATTTTCTAACACTACAGGGGTTGAAAGAGCAGCACTGTTTCACATTTAAGTGTGTAGCACATGACAACCAGTCCAAAGTAGTTAAGTTCACACTTCAAAAATTCCCTCACAGAGTTCTCACTGCATTTCTTAAGTTCTACTTACTGTTCTTCCAGTAGCTTGCAGCTTAAAGAAAAATCCTTTTCAGGTCTGAAGGCTGCAGCCTTATTGCTTGATTCCTTGAGCAGATGCACCAAGATGTTACCTTCCAAGCAGTCCATATTTAAGAGAACACTGAAGTTTCTATGAGATTTAAATGCAGTTTTGTTAAGACACACGCCATGCATGTGACACTGAACAAAACAATGTTATTACGTTGCATTACTTTCTATGATGATTTAATCCTTTGATGGCCATCCACTTTTATTTAATATGCCAATGGTTGCACTGTAAACAAGTAGAATGAAGCTGAAAGATATGTCAAAGGAAAGGAACATTATAAACAAGGAATGAATGTGGATTGGCCTTTGGGGACAGAGATCTCTGTGGCACTACTTACAGTTGGGAAGGGAGTGCTGAACTAAGGACAGAAACACAAATAAGATTGTGCTTTTCAGCATCTTCATCAGATGCCTGAGTACATGGGTCTTTAGCATAAACACTTCTAAAGGTTAGAGTTATTTGGAACAAACAGAGAAGGCATAGGAAAAGCTGATACTTTTTTGCATCCCACAGACTTGCAAAACACACTGCTGATTTTAGGAACTGAACTACATACATACATTTCTTCCAAATTACTATTTTTAAGTCAAACCTTTTCAGGACATGATATAAGTCCCTGAAACCAGAGGTTTATAATGAAAACACCATCAGGCTCTTAACTAAAGCAGTGTGATTGGTGCAGCTACAAGGAAAAAAAATTATCTACTCTATATCTTTCTCAGCATGAAACAGCCATCTCTCAGCAAATCCATGTAGAAAGGGTTGTAAAAATAAATTCTGTGAAAAAGATTCCAAAGGGTGGAGTGAAGAATAAGATAAGATGGATTCCTGTGGGAAAGATCATGGTTTTTGTAGACAAGATCAAAGGGATGAAGGGCTTACCTCTATCTGTGCAGTAGATGTATTGCCTGTGCTTCCTGCTCTTGGATCCAACAGCAGCACCACAGTGAGCAGCTTTGTTCTGCATCACCTGAGAATGAATCAAAAGCAAAGATGCTTTGAAGGAGCTGTGCAAGTTAAAAGGTGCTGTACAGGCTACACAAAGCAATGGCACAAGGGGCATATGAAGGGTTGGGCCCTGGCATTCCCTGCCTTCCCTCCCAAGTCTCTCCCGAGGAAAGGCTCAGTGAGGCCTCCCTGCTGTATGTTTACAGAGGTGCAGGTGAACAGGGAAGGATGAGATCCCCGCTCTGATGTGGAGGACACAGTCACATCCTTTGGCTGGTTTGGTGTTCTGAAGAACAGCCTGGTGCCCTCATCCTGCCATCCACATTCCACAAGCACAGCCGTGTCTCAGACGGGCCTGCTGGCTCATTGCCATCACTGGTGCCCAGGAGCTCCCTCAGCCGAGTTCTCAGTGGCAAACATCAAAGCTCTATTGCAAATCCTTTACTGCTTCCAACAGTAACATATTAATGGTCTACTATGAAGTCTGTGGCCCTTTCTCCAGGCTGTGGGTAGCTTGTTTCTTTATTAAAGAAGCTGTGAGAGCTGTTTGCAGATGGACACAAGGTAAAGCAGGCACCCTGTCCTGTTTGCTTCCTCTCTGTGCTGGTATTTATTTCAGAAGCATTGTTCAGCTCACTACCAGATTTTGCAATCTAGCCCTGAGACAGCTGAAAAGGTCAATTAGAAGAACACATCCTACAATCAAATTCCATTCCACAAAATCACTCATCACAAACAGATGAAAGAGGATAATCATTATTATAAATTGTGCATTCTGCTAGGCTTGAGGCTTTGCCAAAAGATTTGTGTAGGAAGAGCTGCAGAGGTACCAGAAGGCAACGTGGTTCTTGGAGCACAAATTCCTTCTCGCCCTTCCTGTTTGGTGGACAAGTGCTTGTTTGCCATGGCAGGCAGCTCAAAAACACTGTGAGAGGAAATCTCTGCTCTGCTGGAGCACACAGTCCTGCAGCAACCACCTCCAACTGCTGAGATTATCCACATCAGCTGAGTCACTGCAATACCAGTTCGAGGACATCTGATCCTTCAGCAGTTTTGAGACAGGATGTTCTTTCAAGCAGTGTAACCACCTACTTGTAGGTTCCACTTTAGACATTTTCTTTTTTAAGTACCTATTAAGGCCCAGCATGCACAACTCTTCCATTGTGAGTTGAAAACTAAAAATCAAAACTGGCACTCCTTCAGACTTTTGTACCTGGTACTTCCTGATAACTAGGCTGAGTTAATTTGTATTTGTATTCATAAAATAAAACAACATGAGAAGGACAGAGTGTAACACAGTTCGAAAAGGCCTGGAGAAAGAAGAAAAGAGTGATCAGAAAGAAATGGAAACCTCAGAGCAATGTGAGAGTCTGCCCAAGCCAACTGTGAGGGTCAGTACACGGTGTGCGAGCCCAGGACCCCTCCACTCAGGAGAGCAGCTCTTGGTAAGTCAGAGCATCAACAAGCAGAGACAATGTTTTTTTTCTAGACTAATATTTCTGCACCCAAGGAGAGTAAACACATAGCACAGATGCACACCTTGAAGGGGTGTAACAAAGTAGCCCAAGCCACACTGCTGTCATTGCAGTAGGAAAGGTGAGGGATCAGGCCCCAAGGGAAGCCCTGTCCTGTGAAGTGGCCTTTGTGACAATAGGTCTGGCCTCTGGCAGATCCATGGGGAAAGATCTCTGGTAGATCTAAAATCATCAGACAGGAGACAGAATAGAATTCTCTACATTAAAAGTGGTCTCAAAGTTACACTGGCATTCATTTAATTGTGGTGTGGCTATTTGGGTTTTTTTAAAGAAAAAAATGATGGGCTGTATTTCTTCCTGAGATAAATCATATGTGATACAAATTTCATCAATTAAGTTAATTAAAAGTTCATATAATCAGTGAACAAGGCACTTCTGGCTGCATTTGCACTTTATAAATAGTTGGCAATTTACTAAACCATGAAAACTGCTTTCTTACATTTCCTTACCTTTTTATTCACCAAGAAATCAGTTATGTATTGAAATTACAAAAATAATGGTACAGTTAAAATAGGATTTATTACACTGCCCTACAAAATACGTCCAAGAAGTTTTCAGAAGCCACTAATCCAATCAGAAACCAATTCTGCACATATCTGAACACATCCTTCCATCTTACCAGCTCCAATCCAAGCCAACAGATGAGCTTCCATTAAAGAGAAACATGTGGACAAGTGCTCCTGGGAATGGAGCAAAAGATTCCAAGGCAAAAAACCCCTTTAATCTACAGCTGGAATGTATACAATATATCCTTACTCCAGGACAAACCTAAGTCCAACTAATGCTTGGACTTCATGATCTTAGAGGTCTTTTCCAACCTAAATGATTCTATGATTCCACCTTTGTAAATGCTGTCACAGTCCTGAACCTCAGCTGAAGGAAGACAGCAACCCTTGCTTACATATCTATTTCTATTCATTATTGTCTGCAGTTACTTCTCCATCTTCCTGTAGACCAGCCAGTTATTCCTCTTTTTCACAGACTCATAAAGATTTTTGCAGTTTGAAGGGTCTATTTGACAGCTAGTCAACTTAGCTGATGTTATTAGACTATGCAGAAAAAACATAAATACTGAGAATTTTTCTTGGCACAGCCAGAGTTTATTGTGATTGTGATTCATCATTTACAGTTTGGAGGAAAATAAAGGATAATATTCATTCAGACAATATCAAGAGTTAACGACTGAAGCTGCTGAATTACTAGCAGGAACTGAATCAGAGTCAGCAGGAACGATTTTTCTTTCCCAAAGACTTCCTCACAGTGCAGTTGAATAGCCATTCAGGTGTGAATTTTATAGTCTGTGGCTATTAACTTGCTCTCCTCCATACATACACACATCAAGGAGCAGAAGAGAAAGAAATATTGCTGCAGAAAACGTCAGGGGTAAAAACAAATGACACCACGTTTAAAGAGCGGGTGGATGAAGGGATTTGTGTGCATACAAACAAGGGGGAGGGAAGGAGGTCAAATCAGTTAAGTGTTAAGTTCATCGCTGCAAAGCTACAGGGTTTTGTTTGTTTGTTTTCCTACAGAAGGGTGACTTAGTACCAAATACGTGTGTAGGAGTACTCAAGTGCACTGCTGCTTTGTGAGGGCGCTCCTGTTTACTGAGAAGAAATCACAGGAGTCTTTAGCTTTGCACACTTGTAGTAGTACATTTTTTCCACCTTATTGGTACAGGGCTCCAGTTTCTGATCTCCTGGAGGTAGCTGCCTCCATCTCTCTCTCCCTCTGGATAATGGTATTTTTTCATAGACCAACTCCCAACACAGCTGCACAGCCCTCAAGAAGCAAAACACTTCACAAACGGAGCTTGATCTTTAGCATTGACGAGGAAATAAAACATAACATCAAACAGAGTAATAAATATATTGACACAGCATGGAAAAACATCATTGCCCTTTATGGCCTACAACATCAATAGAGGCACAAACCAGGAGTTCTCTTTCAGCTACAGCAAGAGACCTCACGTGTGAGGCTGGATGATGTCTAACTCTGCTCCCTTTCATGTACAACCACCTGCTTGCAGCTCCCTCGCTTGATCCTCACAGCTCAGCGAACCCCCATGTGCGTGTACAAGCACCGGGGAGCTTTGCTGAGCTCACATTCTGCATGCAGACAGCTCGTGGCACGCTCATCTTTTGCATGTGTAATTTGAGACGTCCTTCTTAGTGCTTTGGGCACTCAGCAGTCGGATCCCAGAGCACGGACAGAAAGGGAACCTAACCCTGACTGCCACCTGGCAACGACAATGAGTCCTCCGATGGTCAGGGGAGTGTTTGCCTTGGGCTTCTAACACTTCACTCCCTTCTACTACTGTTGTTAAAATAAGCATTCAGTGCAGCCCAACAGTTTTGAGTGAGGGGAATGAGCTCCTCACAGAAGGCAATTTCAAACACGTTTAGATGTGTTTAAATAAAAATTAATTGAAAGCAGAGTAAAATAAATGCAAAGCACTGTGCAGCAGAATCTCCAGTTCACTGGAGTTATCTTTGAGTAAGTGCTTGCACCCAAATTTCCTAGAGTAGAAAAATCTCCTTCAACAATATTTCCCCCCTGCTTCTCCTACCCGCTATCCTTAAATATTTGTGGCTCTAGAAATTCTCCATCTCTTCAGATGTATCCATTCAGCATCCATACTTTCTCCTCTCTCTTTGTATGTCAGAATATTGAAGCCATTCATGACTTTCCAATTGAAAGTCATGCACACCAGGACACAAGAAAATTCAGGTGAAAGGGCATCATATCCTGCTTTTCGTGCTCCAACAGAAGCTCAGCCCTCTCACACCACCCCTAAACAGAGTGCCTAACCTGTCCCCAGTAACACCTGGTGAATTTGAGATCACATGATACATCACTGCTTAAACACCACCATTAACAACTGCTTTATCTTACAGCTCCTTTAATTTCTTTCCATATCCAATGATCACTGAAAACTATTTATTCTTCTTTTGTTTTTTAAACAACCTTATTCACGTTTCTGTTAGGTTACCCCTAATTTTTAAACAAGCCAAGTTCATTTATTTGGTTCTCATAGATCCTATTTTCTCATTTAGATTTATAAATTATTCTCATTCACAAATCCTATTAACCCTCTACCAAGCACCTTTAAAAGCAGCCAGTAGTTCAGAAGAGCAAAAAATTTGAGAGTTCAGATAATTCCATTTAGTTCTGAAACACAAGGGTTACATGACAGCAATATGTACATCAGAGGACACTGGGGCATCCAGACCCCAAGCCACTAAGCAAAACTTCCCTGTGTTATCTTCCCTCACCTCCAGGAAGAAAAGTGATTATATTTCCATCTCAGACCTCTGCTGCTACCACAGGATTCAGGCCTGCTCCCGTCATTCACCCCATCACTCTGCATCCCAACAGCCTCAGACTATTTAGTGCTCTGCTCTGGTACTGACGTAGAAACCCTGCAGATCAGTTTACTTTTCTATTCCCAGTAAATGGCAACCTGGAAATGACCAGCCAATTCTTC